TCATACGTCCAACTGGTGATCCACCACAATCATCCTGACAGGTTACATGAGCTCCACAGAATAAAACCCCTTTGTTATTCACATTGTTAAAACGTCACAAGTCAAGCATCAGCTGGACCTAAACAACAACACATTTACACACTTAGACCTACTGAGAGTAGCTGACTCGAACAAACTACCACAGGACCTTTCCCAACCACGATAAGTTGACACTTGGATTTCATTTTCTCACCAAAACTCGGGGTTCACAATCCACTCGTGTTGTCGACCCACATGAATCCCACAATATCCACAATGTCCTCAAGTCCATCATGAACTTCTAGCCACACATGTTTTCCCCAGTGGCTGATGCTCCACTATCTTCCAGTGGCTCCAAATGTTTACATCCACAACCTGCCACACAAAATCCTGGCTTCTTTAACTCTTTATACCCCACAGTGATTTCGCACACAACACTTTATAAGTTTGTATGTCTGATTGTCTTTGCTGCCTTATGAGTCTTGTATGTCTGGTTGTCTTTGCTGCCTTATGAGTCTTTTATGTCTGATTTTCTTTGCTGCATGAGTCTTGAATGTCTGTCTTTGCTGGCTTATGAGTCTTGTATGTTGAATTGTCTTTGCTGCCTTATGAGTCTTATATGTCTGATTTTCTTTGCTGCCTTATGAGTCTTGTATGTCTGATTTTCTTTGCTGCATTATGAGTCTTGAATGTCTGTCTTTGCTGCCTTATGAGTCTTGTATGTTGAATTGTCTTTGCTGCCTTATGAGTCTTATATGTTTGATTTTCTTTGCTGCCTTATGAGTCTTATTTGTCTGATTTTCTTTGCTGCATTATGAGTCTTGTATGTCTGATTTTCTTTGCTGCCTTATGAGTCTTGAATGTCTGATTGTCTTTGCTGCCTTATGAGTCTTGTATGTCTGATTGTCTTTGCTGCCTTATGAGTCTTGTATGTCTGATTGTCTTTGTTGCCTTACGAGTCTTGAATGTCTGTCTTTGCTGCCTTATGAGTCTTGTATCTCTGATTGTCTTTGCTGCCTTACGAGTCTTGAATGTCTTATTGTCTTTGCTGCCTTGTGAGTCTTGTATGTCTGATTGTCTTTGCTGCCCTATGAGTCTTGTATGTCTGATTGTCTTTGCTGCGTTATGAGTCTTGTGTGTCTGATTGTCCTTGCTGTCCTGTGAATTTTGTACAGTTGATTAACAATTTACTGAACAGTGTAGCGGACAGTTAAATATCAGAGCAGAAGTAAAATCTAGTTGCTACATGGTATATACTTTTAAGAAATTTTTGTTTGGCCAAACAAGACAAATCAAGAACTGAGGAGGAAAATAAAATGTTTGTCACTAACACATGTTATTATCAAAGGAAGAAAATGAAGATGGCCTTGGACATGTTTGCAGAATGGCTCTTGATACTGATGGATGGCAAATGGAAAAAGACTGTGGATGACATAAGGAAACCTGGAGAAGGACAGTAAAAAGGGAAATGACAGTTGTCTGAGAAGTATTCTTTTCTTACTTTTTCCTCAGTGATTGAATGCATATTTTTTTTTAATCAATAAAGCATTGGTGATAGATTTCTTACTGTGATGGGCTGGAAATGAGGTCTGTGTATAACATTTTAGGTTATCTAATATACATGGTACTTAATTTATGTTTAAATGTATGGATTTTAGGATTTGATTCTGGTGATCTGTATATTTTATTTAGATTCAGCTCAAATTTTCGGCGCCCTCAAAACCTGGCCATTATCAGTATACAGTGGTTCTTCGCTCAGATTCCTATTATTTGGATTTTGACCAGTCTCATGTAGTGAAGGTAAGGATTTATATTTTGTTAACGTTACAAAGCTTATTTATATTAATTTGAAGATTTAAATCTTCTCTTGCCTTCATCCAAAGATGTAATTGCATTGTGCCTATTTACATCATTTCTGCAGGCTTTTTTTTAACCGTTCTTTTTTAGTTTCGTAGGACATTGCAGTCTCATTGTTATAATGTCGTCTTCGTTTCCCAGGTCAGAGGTAGTGCCCCATATTGGGCCAGTCCAGAGAAGCCACGTCAGGCTGGTCGGTCCTCATGGGAAAGCAGGGGCAGAACTTGAGCATTCCCCACCGTCCACGGAGGCTTCTTTAAGTGCATAGCCATTACAGGGTACTCTGGTACTGGGCTCACCCAAGGAATCGTCATGTTCTGCTCATTCCCATTCTCTTCGGAATCCCTGTATTTTATTGCGTTTCTTTTGTATACCCACATTTCCTGAGACAGTAGGATTTTCTAATTTAGACTTTATTTAATGAGCATTGTTAGAACGAAAATTTACCTTGAAATCATGACCCTTTATTTTGCTTCCACAGCTTGATGTCAAGGAGGCAAAGGTGGTCAAGGACCATCCACAGTGGGACATTTCAGAAGATGAGGATGACAAGGGCAAGGAGGATGATGAAGGAAGTGAAGATGATGAGTCAGAGTACAGCTCCGATGGAAATGGGTCAGACTGATGCAACACCTGGACTGTGGAACGTGTTACTTGTTGTGAATAAAGTATTTTCTGTGTGTGATCTGATTGATGCAACACTTGGACTGTAGAACATGTTACTTGTTGTGAATGAAGTATTTTCTGTGTTTGATCTGATTGATGCAACACTTGGACTGTAGAACATGTTATTGTTGTGAATGAAGTATTTTCTGTGTTTGATCTGATTGATGCAACACCTGGACTGTTTAGAACGCGTGTTATTGTTTGAATGAAGTATTTTCTGTGTGTGATCTGATTGATGCAACACCTGGACTGTAGAACATGTTACTTGTGTGAATGAAGTATTTTCTGTGTGTGATCTGATTGATGCAACACCTGGACTGTGGAACATGTTACTTGTTGTGAATGAAGTATTTTCTGTGTGTGATCTGATTGATGCAACACTTAGATTGTAGATCATGTTACTTGTTATGAAGGAAGTATTTTCTGTGTGTGATCTGATTGATGCAACACCTGGACTGTAAAACATGTTACTTGTGAATGAAGTATTTTCTGTGTGTGATCTGATTGATGCAACACCTGGACTGTGAAGAAACATGGTGATACTTGTGAATGTAGAAATTTTCTGTGTGTGATCTGATTGATGCAACACCTGGACTGTAGAACATGTTATTGTTGTGAATGAAGTATTTTCTGTGTATGATCTGATTGATGCAACACCTGGACTGTAGAACATGTTATTGTTGTGAATGAAGTATTTTCTGTGTATGATCTGATTGATGCAACCCTTGGACTGTAGAACATGTTATTGTTGTGAATGAAGTATTTTCTGTGTATGATCTGATTGATGCAACACTTGGACTGTAGAACATGTTATTGTTGTGAATGAAGTATTTTCTGTGTATGATCTGATTCTGCAACACTTAGATGGCAGATCACGTTTAGGTTGTGAAGGAAGTACTGTGTAGTGTGTAGATACCAGCACTGGACTGAGAACATAATTACTTGTTGTGAATGAAGTATTTTCTGTGTATGATCTGACTGATGCAACACTTGGACTGTAGAACATGTTACTTGTTGTGAATGAAGTATTTTCTGTGTATGATCTGATTGACGCAACACTTGGACTGTAGAACATGTTACTTGTGAATGAAGTATTTTCTGTGTGTGATCTGATTGATGCAACCCTTAGACTGTAGAACATGTTATTGTTGTGAATGAAGTTTTTTTGGCGCATGATCAAACTTAAGGGTATCAGTTTTGTTTTTGTCTTTGGTGATAACATTTTAATATTTATTAATTAATTTCATTTAGGTTCTTTTACTTCTTTTCTTCTGCCAGAAAGGATGTTTACAGGTGAAAGAAGAGATCTCATTGTTTTGATGTAGGCAATATATAGAAAACCTGCTGCTGGCTGAGTGGTTAGAACACAAGGCTGTCATGCAAGAGAAAAATGTTCAATTTTCTGTAAAGGGTGAATATTTTTCCATCACTATCGGGACAGAAATACAAATCCTAACTGTTCATGGTGTCTGCACCAGCTTTGCAGCCTTCTATCGTCCCCCTGTCCTACGCTGCCCTAAAAAAGTGGTAATTAAGGCAGTAATGGCAGTTTTCTAAAAAGAAATATACAGTCATCATAAATGCTTGAATGCTTTTAAACTGTTATTATAAAAGAAGTATTTAATTGATACGCACATGTGGCATCTTTAAAAAGTTCAGAAAAAAAAAAAAAGTTTCAGTATTACCTTAGTATGCAGTGTTTCTATTATAATTATCATTGACTGGCCAGTAAGCGACTGTCACCAGTCAGGACAGTATTTGGGTCTATATCCTTTGATTGCATCCACACTGCAAGTGTCCTTTTCATGGCTAATTGGTGGCCAGCTGTGCTAAGCCATTTTATCTAGCCGAAATAAACCTAGACAAATTAACCTGGACAACATGGTGATTTAGTTTTTTAGGAAAACAGCAGAACAGAATGTGGTGGATGGTACTTGCTTGCTAGCCTTGTGGTCATGTGTTCAGTTGTTATGTCTACTGACTGGGGGGGGGGGGGGTGTGTGCTCCAGAACCCACAGCAGGAGAGTCTAGATCAGTGGTTCTCAGCCTGTGGGTGGTGACCCCTTTGGGGGGTCAAACGACAATTCACAGGGGTCACCTGAGACCATCAGAAAACACATATTCAGTGAAGTTATGGAGAAGCAATGAAAATAATTTTATGGCTGGTGGTCACCACAACATGAGGAACTGTATTAAAGGGTCACGGCATTAGGAAGGTTGAGAACCACTGGTCGGTATTGAATATATACATAACAAAAAAGTTTAATCCGTGAGTATAAATTACTTTTAAAATATTCATAATATTGGTACAGCACATGTTAAGGAGAGAAGATTAGTGTTTTTGGCTGTGAAATTAAGTGTGTGTAAGATTTCTGTTTTATTCTGTTTATTTAACGGATCAGCATCACGCCACACGGGTGGTAACCAGTAAGTGCTCCGTTCTACTTCTAACTCAAGCCTAAGTTTAAAGAATCTCATTGCAGTTCACGAACTTCGTTGCACCGGCAAGGATTCTGAAGGACTTTGGGTAGATTTTAAACTCCAAATTTTGCCCAGGCAGCGCCGTAAGGCTACTCTTTTTCGGTTTCCAACTGCCAAGGGATTTTTTTAACCTGCGCAGCAATACACACAGGCGTCCGGTCTTACCAACCAGAGACCAAGGGAAATTACCAGAAGTCCACGTGAAAAAATCCCAGCTTTCACTGTGGTTTGAACCCGGGACCTCCAGCACTCAAGGCAGATGCCATACCTCGAGACCTCACACACCACCCCCCCAACCCCCCCCCCCCCCCCCCCCCCCCCAGTATGTAAGAGTTGGATGCAGTGATATTAGGAAATATAATTTGTGTGGGAGAAAATACTAGTTGTATGAGAGAGTACCGATCCAAGAGGACACATTAGTTATATGATAATATATTACTTGTGCAGAACACAGTTATATGATAGTAAATTACTAATGAATTTTTCAGTCACAAACTACAAACACACACAACAGTATTATTAGCACTGAAATTCTCCGTTGATGAAATGTTATTCACACGAAATTCTTTCTGTTCACAAATACATTAAATTATGTTTACCCCACTGAAATTGTCCATTTACAGATACATGAAATGATGCTACCCACACTTAAAATTTGCTAAACAAAAAAATGTATGAATTGATGGTCTTCCCAGATTTTTTCTGGACATGTAATGTTGTTTATTTAAATACTGTTTATGTTGTGTATTTTAGTGCTGTTTGTATTGTGTTCAGTGTTTGTGTGTATTTTGTGCCGTTTATGTTTTGTGTGTGTGTTTTAGTGCTGTTTGTGTTGTGTATTTTAGTGCTGTTTGTGAGTGTATTTTAGTGTTGTTTATGTTGTGTGTGTGTTTTAGTGCTGTTTATGTTGTGTGTGTGTGTGATTGTGTGTATAAGTGCTGTTTGTGTTGTATGTGTGTGTTTTAACGCTGTTTGTGATGTGTGTGTGTTTTTAGTGCTGTTTATGTTGTTTATGTTTGTGTGTGTGTGTGTGTGTGTGTTTGTAATTTTAGTGCTGTATTTTTGTGATGTGTGTGTGTGTTTTAGTGCTGTTTATGTTGTGTGTGTGTGTATAAGTGCTGTTTGTGTTGTATGTGTGTGTTTTAACGCTGTTTGTGATGTGTGTGTGTTTTTAGTGCTGTTTATGTTGTTTGTGTTGTGTTTGTGTGTGTGTGTGTGTTTTAACGCTGTTTGTGGTGTGTGTGTTTTTAGTGCTGCTTGTGTTGTGTATGTTTTTAAATTCTGTTATTGCCATGTTTTATGGCTGTGTCTGCTTCTTCTGCCTTTCTTTCCCCTAATGGAGCATAGGCCCTCAACCAACTCACGACAAGTCATTCTATACTTCGCCATTACATGGAGCTCTCCCCATGTCCTCCCCTTCTAACTTCATTCTCCAGCTCTCTTCTCCATGTGTTTTTTGGCCTTCCTTTATTCCTATGCCCTTGTGGGTTCCAATGCAAAGACATTCTAGTTATGCTGTTCTACTGTTTTCTCAGTGTGTGTCCTATCCAACAGCAGCGACTTTTCCACACCTCTTGGTCCACTGGAGCCTGTTTAGTTCTCTCCCAAAGTTCTACATTAGTTATTCTATCATTCATACCATTTTATTCCCTCTATTCTGTGCAGCCACCAGTTAATGAATGTCTCTTTTTTTTTTTTCCTCGAACACCGGCTGTGAATTCCAGTGGTAGGTCAGGTAATCGTCCGCTTGGACTTTTGGCTTTCACCTGGACCTGATTTTTGCGTGTACAACCGTTTTTCATTTCCCTGCCTCATGGGCAGCTGTACGCCGACTTCGAAGGAAGACGTCAGGCCTATTTCTAGGGTGACTGTGGCCATTGTTTTGTGTGGGTCGAGACGTTGCCTGATTTGTGTGGTGTCCACATTGTCTCCTTTGCCGCAGGTATTGCCCCCGGAGTACCCCTTTGGGTCAGCCCCCTGTGGAGCAGTTAGCCCTCAAGGGAAGGCAGGGGCAGATCATGGGCATTCCCCGCCATCCAAGGAGGCATCCATGTATGCAGAGCCGACACATGGCGCTCTGGTTCTGGGCTCACCCAAGGAATCGTCACGTCCTGCACATGCCTGCTTAACCTCACAACCGTATTAGGCCTCCCGCTCGACAGGGGCTGCGCCCTCTGGAAGTCAGCGGGGAGCAGCCCGTGGGTTTTGGACTTTTGTGACCACACAGATAGGTACATTCTTTTTTCTTCGCACGTTAGATTTCTTTGACGAGCCGTTAGCCCGACAGAATTTTACATCCTGCTCCAGGCATATCGTATCAGTTTTGTCCCAACACTCGGGCGAGTGGGGTCTTTGGGTGTGGACATTCGGTCTTTTTCAGTTCAATACAAATTTTGAGGGCAGATTTTGATCCGTATGATCTAGTTTTGTCGGACATTTAGGCTTAGCCATCCGATGGATGGTTGCTGTTATGGTGTA